TCTGACTCAGACCCTCCTGCATCAATTGTATTTTAAACTGGTAAATAATATAGTGTCATGTGACATTATGTGATTCATTGTGTAAATCTTGATGTACATGTATAAAAATTATTCATTTGATGGGATTAAAATTAATTTTTTAGTAATTTATAATAAAAGTTGATAAAATATGTGATTGAAAATTCGTGAAATTCATGATTAAATTTAATTGTTAACTTTGATTTAAATTAAATTTAGTTTTTAATGGCTATCTAACTCCGGCTATATATGTGTAGAAAAATCAGCCATGAATTCACGCTGAAAAACATGCTTACGATCAATCTTTTATGGCTTTTGCTGGCACCCCTTTTTTTCTCCTCCACCGCCGCTGCCACTGCAAAGCAGGGCTGCGAACACAAATGTGGAGATTTAATTGTCCGCTACCCTTTTGGAATTGGAAAAAATTGTTCAATAGGCATTATAGGCTCATGGTTTGACGTAAACTGCAACACATCTTTCAACCCTCCAAAGCCCTTCCTTGCCAATGGCAATCTTGAGATTGTCAAAATATCGTCCGATGAACTACGTGTCAAGAATTGGGTAGCAATGAAATGCTATACAGAAACTGGTGACGCAATCCGCGACGATGGGATAAACATCAATTTAACCGGAACTCCTTACAGCTTGGCTGATTCGAACAAGTTCACAGTGGTCGGCTGCGATGACCAGTCGTTGTTCAGAGGAGCAAGTGACAGAAATTTCTACAGTGGCTGCCTGTCTTTTTGTTCTGAAAGGGAACATTTTGTTGATGGATTTTGTACAAGAATTGGTTGCTGCCAAACTTCTATACCAAATGGCCTACAGGATTTTTCTTATTTACTTGGATCCTTTTATAATCATACAAATATCTCGTCATTTAATCCCTGTGGTTATGCTTTTCTTGCAGATCAGGATGTATTTAAATTTCATGAGTCTGATTTTTCTGATGAAAGTTTTCGGAATAGAACAATTGAAAATGTTCCAATAGTGATAGATTGGGCCATTGGGAATCAGAGTTGCAGTGTCGCCAAAAAATCTACTGATTATGCTTGTCTTCAGAATAGTGATTGTGTTGATTCAGACACAGGTCTAGGTGGTTATCGTTGTAATTGCTCAACAGGATACGACGGCAATCCGTATCTAAGTCCAGGCTGCACAGGTTAGTAATTTCTCAATCATCAAAATTTATTATCCGTTCAAATTTTTGCTATAAATATGGGGATCTAAACGAACTTTATCTATCAATAATAAGTGACCATTTTTTATTTACTTGTAGATGTAAGGTACTTGTCAGTAATTAACCTTATATAATTGTATAATTTTCTCATCATGCAACATTATATTTTTATAAATATTTGTTAGTATGTCACAATTTATTCATGAATTGAACACAATAATACAGATCTTATATTAATCGGCTTTTAGGTTATTCGAAAAGAAATAATTCAGCCAATATGAGTTATTCAAAATATCAAAATAACTGTGACATGTGACCCGAAGAGACTTGTATTGGTTGGAGAATAAAATATTCAATCGTCGAAGAAGTTATAAGATGAAAGTGAAGAGCAAAACTAACAGGATGTGTAGTTTTTAATTGCATCTATTGCTAATGATCATTTTTAGTAATCAAACTGAGTTGCATCGAACTATTAATTATTTTTAAATTATTTTTCAAGAATATTAATTGTTTTTAGTAAATATAGCATTTAAGCTTACTTACTTTGTCGTGATGATTGAATATTTAATCAGATAAATAGTAGATTATATAACCTTAATGTTGTAATTCTTTCGGCAGACGTTAATGAATGTGAGAATAATCCATGCGACGAAAACGGAATTTGCACTAATATTACGGGTAGCTTCAACTGTTCCTGCAAGGATGGATACTTTGGTGATGGCACAAAAAATGGCATTCGTTGCATTGCTCATCAGAACACTCAGTTCCCAGTAATCAAGTTCTTACT